AGGATGGCCATGCCACAGTCCCTTCTCCATTCTCCTCTTGGGATCTTGGGCATGCATGCACATGTGCCTGGCATTAATTTTTTTAAAATTTATTTTAAAGTATTTATTTTTTATTTATTCATTCATTTATTTTTTTAATTTGGCCAGAGAGAGACACAGAGAGAGAGAGGAAAAGTGAGTAAGAAAGCCACCAAGTCCGGGACTCAAACTGTGGTCGGCCATGTGGGAGTGTCCAGCACCTTAACCACCACGCCACCTGCCTGGCATGAGTTTAAGCTGCTGGTTCCGGGATTCAAACAGCGGTCAACTACATGGGAGTCCAGCTATGTAAAACCGTTACGCCATCTGCTGGTCCCAAGCGAAAGCTGGTTGGCCCTCAACAATTTCTTAAAGATGTTTTTTATTAGTTTTTTCTTTTTTTAAAGTTATTTTATTTAAATTTATCCATTTATTTTAATTTGACGAGAATGGGACAGAGAGAGTGAGAAGGCAGGCTGCCAGGTCTGGGACTTGAACCATGGTCAGCCATGTGGGAGTCCAGCAGCCCCAACCACCATGCCACCTGTTAGTACTGTTTCATTTTTTTTAAGAATTACTTAAGTTTATTCATTTATTTGACCAGGGAGGGACAGAGTGAGAGCGAGCGCAAGAGAGGGAACGTGAGAAAGCAAGCCGCCAGGTGCAGGACTCAAACTACAGCTGTCCATGTGGGAGTCCAGCGCACTTAACCACCTTACCACTTGCTGGCCCCCATTCTTGATGGGATTGTTTTACTCTGGATTTTCCAAAAAACAGAGGTGGAGACAGAGGGCTTACATTTATTTAGCACTGGGGAACAAAATCCCAGGAAGCCGCAGTGGGGACCAACGAGAATAAAGCTGGGAAAAGAGAGCCAGTGAGGTTGACTTATCATACAGGTCTTCACTAACTACAGAGGATTGCTCCAACAGGGGACAGCATCCTGAGAGGCTGCGGAAACTGTCTTTGTAGGACTGCCCTGTTGGGAACAGAAAGGGAGATCTGTTCTCTAGCTCCTGTCGCTGTGGGATTTAACTCCCCTGTACTTCCAGACCGCATGTGTTTAGGTGTGGGTGCCACAGCAGGGAAGCCCCAGAATAGGAGGCAGCATGTGGGCATGTTGTCAAAGCCCATGCGGGGTGAGAACGAGGAATAAATAAGTAGCTGGCAGAGTCTGAACAATCCTAAGAGGTGTATGATTTACTGGGAAAGCTTGAACTGGGGCTGTGGAACAGTCCTGTTTGGTGAGATAAGGATTGTTTTCTTCAGGAACAATAGTTGATGGCTTCTACCTCCAGGGTTTTCTTTCTCTTTTCCTTTTCCTTTTTACTTGACATAGTAATCGCACATATTTATGGAGCACGGCGTGATTTTTTAGTACATGCGTACAATGTGTAATGAACAAATGGGACGATTAGCATATTCGACATCGTAAACATTTATCATTATTTTGTCTTGGGGACATTCAAAATCTTCTGTTTTAGCTATTCGGAAATATACAATAAATGCTAACTGTAGCTACTCCACTGTGCTATAGAACATTAGAGCTTATTCCTCTTATCTGTGATTTTTTTTTTTGTTACCTGTTAACCAATATCTCTGATCTTCTCCTGGCTATACTTCCCAACCTCTACTAATCACTATTCTATTCTCTACCTCAACGAAGCCAACTCTTTTAGTTTCTTCTTCTTTTTTTTTTTTTAAGAGAGATTTTTTTCTGTAGGGTATATACACTCACCAACAGACAGAGACAGAGATACAGAAAGTGAGAAATCTTCCCCTAGTGGGTGTGGCCACACCACAGTCCCTTCATTTTCCTCTTGGGATTTTGGGCATGCATGCACACACATTTGGTGTGAGGTTTAAGCCACTGAGTCTGGGACTCAAACTGCAGTCGACTATGTAGGAGTCCAGCGATACAACCATTGTGCCATCTGTTGGTCCCATGATTCTTTTAGTTTGTATATATGTTTGAGAGCATGCAATTTTTTTTTCTTTTTCTGTGTCTAGCTTATTTCACTTAATGTCATATCCTTCAGGCTCATCTATGTTGCCTTGAACAACAGAATTTCATTCTTTTTAATGGCTGAAAAGTATTACTCTGTGTGTGTGTGTTTCTACACAGATCACATTGTCTTTACCCATTCATCTGTTGATGGATACTTACATTGGTTCTGTATCTTGATTATTGTTAATATTGTTAATATTGCTTCTGTAAACCTATGTCTATGGCATACTGATTTCCTTTCCTTTGGATATGTGCCTAGTAGTGGGGTTGCTACTAATAGTCTCATAGTTGGGAGTCTTATGTGTAGTCTTTAAATCATATTGAATTGATTTTTGTCTATGGTGAGAGAGAGGGGTCTAGTTTCATTCATCTGTATATGGATATCCAACTTTTCCAGCATTGTTTATTAAAGAGACTATCCTTTCCTCAATGAATGTTCTCAGTACCTTTGTTGAAAATCAATTGGCTATATATATATGGACTTATTTCTGGATTTTCTATTCTGTTTCATTTGTCATTATCTTTTTGTTTTGTTTTGTTTTATTTTTCCACATACTGTTTTGGTTAGTTTAGACTTGTGGTACATTTTGAAGTCAGATAGTGTGATGTCCTTCAGCTTTGTTCTTTTTATTCATGATTGCCTTGATTAGTCAAGGTCTTTTGTGTTTCTATACAAATTTTATGTTTTTTTTTCCTATTTCTTTTCTTTTCTTTTTTTTTTTTTTTTTCTGAGAGGTTTTTGCTATAGGGCGCATGTGCTCGCCAGAAAGAGAGAGACAGAGAGACAGAAAGTGAGAAATCACCCCTCCCAGGGGGTGATAGCCACATCGCAATCACTTCTCCTCCATTCTCCTCTAGGGATCTTGGGCACGCATACACACACGCCCAGCGTGAGTTTAAGCCACCAGGTCTGGGACTCAAACTGCAATCGACTACATGGGAGTCCAGCAACATAGCCATTATGCCAATTGCTGGTCCCATTTTTTTCTGTTTCTGTGAAGAATGCCATTGGTATTTTCATAGATACTGCATTAAATCTCTAGATTGCTTTTTAGCAGTATGTACATTTTAACAGTATTGATTTTTCTGGTCCATGAACATGGGATGTCTTTCCATTTGTGTTTTCAATTTCTTTTATTGATGTTTTATAGTTTTCATTGTAGAGATTTTTCACTCCTTAGTTACATTATTCCTAGGTATTTAATTTTTTTTTTTTAGCTATTATAAGTGGGTCTTACTTGCTTTTGTATCCTGAAACTTTACTGAATTTGTTTATCAGTTTTAAGAGTTTTTGGTGGTCTTTAGTCTTTTTTTTTTTTTGTATAAATAATATCATGTTTTCTGCAAAAAGGGATAGTTTGACTTCCTTCTGCCGTTTCTAAGTCTTTATTTTCTTTCCTTGCCTGATCACTCCACCTAGGACATATGTGTGTGTGTGTGTGTGTATATATATATATATATATATATATTCTTTTTGATACTATTGCAAATAAAATTGCTTTTCTTTTTTTTCTTTTTTTTTTCTTTTTGAGAGATTTTTCGCTATAGGGCACTTGTGCTTGCTGGAAAGAGAGAGAAACAGAGACAGAAAGTGAGAAACCATCCCCCTCAAGGGAGGGACAGCCATGCTGCAGTTCTTTCTCCATTCTTCTCTTGTGATTCTGATCATGCACACACACGTGCCTGGTGTGAATTTTAGGCCACCAGGTCTGGGACTAGAATGGTGGTCGACTACATGGGAGTCCAGTGATGTAACCATTATGCCATCTGCACGTCCCTGAAGTTGCTTTCTTAATTTCATTGTTTTGATTGTTCAATACTAATGTATAGAAATACAATGAATATTGTTTTACATTGGCCTTCTATTTTGCAACCTTGCTGAACTCCTTTTTTAGCTTTAATAGCCTTAGTGTGTGTGTGTGTGTATGTGTGTGTGAATTCCTCAAGGTTTTCAATATAAGATCATATCATTTGCAAATAGACACTTTTTAAAAAATATTTAAAAATAATTATTCATTTAATTTTATTTGTTATTATTATTCTTAAATTTGACCACAGAGAGAGAGAGAGAAAGCAAGTTGCCAGGTCTGGGACATGAGCCGCAGTTGGCCATGTGGGAGTCCAGTGCCTTAAACAACACGCCATCTGCTGGTCTCAACAGATGTGTTTTTATTTGTCTGTAGGAAATTTGATCTTAAAGAAATACATAACTAGATTTTCCCCACTTCCTCCCTTGCTCTTGTAACAACTTCTTGGGTGGTTGACTAGTTCCATGAGAAATTGTGTTACCTCAGGGAACCAAGGCCTTAATATAGTTTTCTATTTTGTCAAATTCAATTACATGGGATAGATGTAAAATATTTGAAAGAAGCGGAACACCCTGAAGAAATCAGTGGCTTACTAATACACTAGGATTAAATAACTTCGGTTAAAGGAGTCCCAGAAGGATCCTACTCAGGGACTTTGTAGAGAAATAATTTTGTTTATTCCAAGCTACTTCTGAGGAATGGTCCTGTGTGGTGATACATGTAATTTTCCCTCTTGAGAATAGCCTTACTATTTCCAAGTGCCACTCCTCCCCCCAGGTTGGGATGAGGAAGGCGGAAGCAGATCTTACTCGTCCAGATGCAGGGAAGATTCAGTTCCTGCTTCCTCTCTGAGCCTCCTTCCTTTTCACCTGAGTGGAACTCCAGTGGCATCCAGTGGCCTGTCAAGCTAATCACAGGCTGGAACTCTTAACCAATACTCAAGCAAGAATCTCTTCCTCCTGGTCAGATATGGAGCCAGCTTTATTAATGAAGAAGAGAAGTTGGGTGATTGGCCTGGGATAGCCTGAACTGCCTGACCTGGAATCTAAATTAGAACACGAATGGTTCAGTATAGACTAGCTGTGCAGATCAACTAATCTCTATCAGGATTTTTCCAAAATGCAGGGATGCATTTTAGTGAATCCACTTTCTTTTTTCTGTTTTAGAAATAATGACAGAGATTAAAGACGTATCGGTGTTTAATAACACCTGTGTGAGGTGGCAAATAAGCTCAGGAAGAATAAACTCCAAGATCATGTATGTGGTAAGTAAACATACGTGCCCCTAGGGGGGCAGAAATGGGAATGTGAGTCAGAGAGATTTACTTCCGTCAGAGCTTCTCAATCTAATTGCTTTTCAACTCCATTGTTATTTTAAAGTGTGAATGAGATTTTAAAGATTTTGGTTCTTGTAGTTTACGTTTATTTTTGTGTTTAGCATATTTGTCATTTGACAGGGGATTTGTGTGGGGGATGCATTTATATTTGGCTTCATCGTTATTGTTTGTTTCCAAGCACTTATGTTTCACGCCCCCAGGGCAAGCCTGCCAGCACCTGCTAACATGGGGACAGAAGGTCACCAGTGGCCTCCAGGTTGTGACTGCCTCCATTTATTGCTGATCATCTGTGTGCAGAATCAAACTCCCTAGAGAAACTTCTCATTTATGTCACTTCTTAGCCCTTATTGATTCCTGGGTTGATCAGACTTGGTCATCAGATACTTGCTGGAGAGGTTTACTTAATCTGTCTTTCCCAGCTGAGCAGTGCGGCGTGTGAATCGCAGGAGACGGTCTAGCACCTCAGTCTTAGTTGTTTTGACTGGTGTCATGGTAGGTTCTCTCGTCTTTTCCTCTCACAAAGGTATACATAAAAGAACAACGGTTGGATCCTGTGGAATCACTTCATGAGGAGGCAGTCAACTTGACCACGGACAGCAGGACCCCAGAAGTGTGCTTAGACTTGGACCCAGGCACCAACTACACCGTGAGCATTTCCACAGCACCTCCCAGGCGCTCTGTGCCAGCCGTCATTGGTTTCCAGACAGCTGGTAGGTGGGGGTGAAATTCATTTCCTCCTAGAACACGCTGAGCACAGGATGTGGGGAAGTGCGTCTCAGAGTCAGCTGGGGAGAAGAGTTCGTATTTGCTGTCTGAGAGTTGTGTCAGAAGAATGTAGTTGCTCCAGGGGCCAGGACCAGAGAGTGTCTTGTAGGAGAGATTTCTGTCTTGCTGGCACCAGGGTGAATAACTACTGTACTGTTTCTCAGATGAGTCCTCTAGTATCAGTGGAAGGCAATAAAAGGAATTTACAAGAGCAGAACATGGGGCTGGCAGGTGGCGTGGTGGTTAAAGTGCTGGACTCCCACATGGCCAATTGTGGTTTGAATCCTGGACCTAGTGACTTGCTTTCTCACTTTCCTTCTCTCTCTTTCCGTCTTGGTCTCTCTCTGATCAAGTTAAAATATAATAATAATAAATAAAATTAAAAGAAATAATTCTTAAAAAAAATAAAAGGGCAGAACACTAGGTGATGATACAGAAAATTCTTAGTTGTCCAAAGCAATAGAGGGCATCCTGTGGCCATTTTTTCCCTTTGCTTGTGAGAGAGTGAAGGAGGAGGAGCCAGGAGCCTGACCCAACACTTTAGGTTGGGAGCTGACCCCCAAGACTGATTGGGGGTGGGGAATCAAGTTGACAGAGGGTGAGGGCTTGGGAATGCAGCACTAGGATGAAGAAAGGTAATGTTGGGTGAAAAGAAAAGAAGAGTAGATAGGAAAGAGCTTTAAGAAGCAGGAATTGGAGACCAGCAGATGGCATAATGGTTATGTTGCTGGACTGCCTCGTAGTTGACTGAGGTTTGAGTCCTGGACCTGGCAGCTTAAAATTCACACTGGGCATGTATGCATGTGTGCCCCAAATCCTGAGAGGATAACAGAAGAGAAAGGATTGTGGCATGGTCATCCCCCCGGAAGGTGATTTCTCGCTGTCTCTTTGTCTTTCTGGTGAGCATACGCCCCCTATAGCAAAAATCTCCAAAAAAATAAAAATAAACAAAGAAGAAATAGGAATTGGGGGCCAGCTGGTGGCACAGTGGTTAAGGCAGCTGGATTCCAAATGGCCAACTGCACAGTTCGTGTCCCATACCTGGGCTGCTTGAAAACACACCAAGCATGTGTGCATTTGTGTCTCAAATCCTGAAAGGAGAAACGGAGGAGAAGGGATTGTAGCATGACCATCCCGTGGGCGGTACTTTCTTACTTTTCCTCTCTCTATCGCTGGCAAACATACATGCCCTCTAACAAATAAAAAAATAAAATAAAATAAAAAACATAAAAAAAGTAAGAATTGGAACTGGTCCCATAGCATAGTGGTTAAGTTCTGTGCAGCTAGAGGCCAATCCACATGGCTGCCCACAGTTCCAGTCACAGCCCTGACGGCTTGGAGCATATGCAGGATATGCCTGTGTGTATGCCCAGGATCCTGATGGGATGGAAAAATGGAGGAAAAAGGATTGCGGTGTGACCAGGCCACTGGGGGGTTGCGTTCACTCTCTTTTTTGTGCCTGTGCATGTGCCCTCCGGCCTTAAAAATGGAACTAGGAAAGGGACCAGCAGGTGGTGTAATGGTTACATTGCCAGGCTCCTGCGTAGTTGATTCAGTTTGAGTTCTTTTTTTTTTTTTTTTTTTTTGGAGAGGTTTTTGCTATAGGGCGCATGCGCTCGCCAGAAAGACAGAGAGAGAGAGAGAGACAGAAAGTGAGCAATCACCCCCCAGGGGGGATGGCCACGCCGCAATCCCTTCTCCTCCATTCTCCTCTCGGCATCTTGGGCATGCACGCACACGCGCCCGGCGTGAGTTTAAGCCACTGGGTCTAGGACTTGAATTGTGGTCGACTACATGGGAGTCTAGCGACATAGCCATTACGCTAACTGCGGGTCCCCACAGTTTGAGTTCTGAACCTGGAGGCTTAAAACTCATGCTGGACACTTGTGCATGCTCTCCTAAAATCTCAAGAGGAGAATGGAGGAGAAGGAATTAGAGTGTGGTCATTCCCCTGTGATGGGCCGGGGGGATTTCTTGCTTTCTAAAAAAAAAAAAAAAAAAAAAAGAAGTAGGAATAAACCTACAATTGCAAATAATTGTGAAATGGATTTTAAAAGGAATTATTTATTTAATTTTATTTATTATTATGATTATTTTTTAATTTGCTATAGGGAATGAGAGAGAGAGAGAGAAAGTGAGAAAGCAAGCCGCCAGCTCTAGGACTTAAATCGTAGCCACCTGGGAGTCTAGCACCTCAACCATCACACCACTTGCTGACCCTGCCGAATGCATTTGTAAACAACATTGTGACAATTACAATCGGTGTAAAAAAATAATTCTGGTAATAGGGTGCCAGGGCTAACTTAATACTACATAGACAAACCTTGAGAAGCCACTGCCATCATCGTTGTTTTAGGAAGTTGAGGTAATTCTTTTTTTTAAAAAAATATTTATTCCTTCCATGAATGAGAGAGACAGAGACTGAGAGAAAGACAGACAGAGGGATGGCACCCTCAATAGGGTCTTCGTGCAGCAATCCACTCCCAGCCCATGCACGAGCACATGCTTGCTGTGCCACCATCCGGCTCCTAATTCTCAATGAACTGTTTGATGTTGTGTGCGAGAAAATGTACCTGTACTCGCGGATGTTGCTGCTAGGAAGACTCTAGGAAGTAACATAGATTTGACAGAAATAATTGAAAAGTCCGTCATCTATTTGTTTTTTAAAGACAAGATTTTGTTAGGCGCAGTCCTCCTGCCTTGGCCTGACAGCTGGGATTATAAGGACATGTGTGTTGCCCTTTAGATTGGACTGGGAATCAAACCTGGGCCTCCCATGTGGCCTCAGTCTGAAGAGGACATTGTCTTAGCAGAGTGAACCACTGTGGCTGGGCCTAAGTTTGCCAATTTTTTTTTTAAAAGAATTATTTTATTTAACTTTATTTATTTATTTTAATATGACCAGAGAAGGGGGGAGAGAGAGAGAAAGTGAGAAAGCTAGTCGCCAGGTCTGGGACTCGAACTGCAGTTGGCCATGTGGGAGTCCAGTGTCCTTGAACACCATGCCACCTGCTGGCCCCAAAGTCTGCCATTTTTTTTTTTTTTTTTAATAACTTTTAAAATTTATTAATTTATTTTAATTTGATCAGAGAAAGAGACACACAGATAGGAGAGTAAGGGAGTGAGAAAGCAAGCTACCAGGTTCAGGACTCGAACCATGGTCAGCCATGTGGGAGTGTCCAGCGCCTTAACCACCATGCCACCTGCTGGTCCCCAAGTCTGCCAATCTTAACAATATAAAACCAACTATGAAATTGTAAGAAAGGTATCTTGGTGCTTATATATAAATAAAACTATTTCTATGTAAATAATATATAATATAAATAATATATACACAAAGATATTATAGAATTAAATTTCTCTTATTATAAAGCTAATTAGAGAAACTATAAAATTAGTAATAAACTACTATGGGTTTATAGGGTTAGATCTTCTTTAAAAGGTTATCACAGGACTTCAGACTCATCTGTCACTGTTCAGAGTGACAGCTTGCTGTTCAGTGTCAGCTGTTTTGACTAATATCCAGTTACCTGTCCAGTTGCTTCCCACTGGGAAAACATGGTTTTAAAAGTCAGGCAGACCTGCTTCTGCATCTTCGCTCTGCTTTGAAGTGTTGAGTGACTGTGACTGAGTTATCTAATGTCTCTAGACCACTTTCATCTGAAATTTTAAACAGACTTGGGTTAAATTTGCAAATGACTCTAAGGAGAATTAGTATTCATATTGAATCATCCCAACTGGGAAGAAGGTATGTGTCTACATTTACTCCATATCTGCTCAAGTCTTTTCTGTTTACTCGTGCATGGTTGTAAGCGTTTGTCCATGTCTTTCTCTGGATTCTGCACATTCTGCTGTCTGATTTCATCATCAGGGTTATGCTAGTTCCCTTAAAATGAATTGAAAAGGGGCCACATTTGGCTTGGTGGTAAGATGTTGGACTCTCACATGGCTGACTGTGGTTCATGTCCTGGACTGGTGGCTTGAGAGTCATATTGGGCATGTGTGTTTGCCCAAAATCCCTAGAGGAGAATATACGAGTAGGGATTGCACTGTGGCCATCCTCTCTGGGAGGTGATTTCTCAATTTCTCTTCTTGTCTCTTTCTCTCCAGTGAGTGCACCTGCCCTACTGCAAATTCTGATTCCTAATTTGTTTTTCTCTCTTAAAAAATAAATTAGCAGGGCTGGCAGGTGGCGTGGTAGTTAAGTGTGCTGGACTCCCATATGGCCAACCGTGGTTCAAGTCCTGGACCTGGTGGCTTGCTTTAGCATCCCTCCCCAACTCTGTCCATCTTTGATAAAATAAATAAATAAAGTTAAATAAAAATAATTCTTTAAAAAAATTAGTTGGGGTTATCCATTTTATTACTGTTTTTTTCCCCCAAAGAATGAAGCCTTGAATTTTAAAATTGCCTTTTAAAAAATAATTCACTAATTTCTCCTCTTATTTTTATTATTTTCTTCATGTCTTTCTTCAATGGGGCATATTGTTCTATTTCTAAACTCTTGAGTTATATGCATAATTCAGCTTACTTCCATTCTTTTCTTGTTTGACAATAAAAGTCTCTACTGCTTCTTTCTCCCTTCTGGGTTTGAGTTTTGGCAGACTTCCTCAGGCATCGATACGTGTTCTCTTTATCCTTACTTTCAAGGCATGAGATAATTGCTATTCTGATTTTCCCTTTGATTGAAGAATTATTTATGAGTATGTTAATATATATTCTCTTTATCTTTACTTTCAAAGCATTATATAATTGCTATTTTGATTTCCCTTTTGATTGAAGAATTAATTATAAGTGTTTTATACAAGTTGTAGTTTTTTTTTTCTTTTTAATATTTACACTGTTGTTAATTTTTAGTTTTATTACACTTCAGTATGCCTTGGGGAATTCATTGACATTTTCTTGGTCCTTACTCTTTTGCCAAGTTTTGTAAGTTCAATAAGTG